TTAGGGCGGCACCCTGAAACGAATGGGCAAAGTGAGCAAATGAACCGTTCGTGCCAACAACTCTTGTGCATGTATGTGCGACCTGATCAAGTTGATTGGGATGAGAACTTACCCAAAATTGCTAGTGCCTATAATAGCAGTGTTCATACCGCTACAGGACGTAGTCCTAACGCACTGCACAAGGGATGTAAACCTAGAACATGTTATTCATTAAAACAGTACATTATTGTGTGTACTATTTTGGAACGAATTTATGACACAGTGTATAGTGTGGTGTAGTATTCCAGATCCGGATACATCCGAACAAGGAGTAAAATCAGCTTTGAGGCGAGGAGCACAGTCAGTACATATATCTGTTGCGCTCCTCTCGTGGTTCAGGTGTGTCTAGATGTGGAACACCACAGCAGAGTATACACTGTGTTATACGCCTCTGAGTCAGTACATATATCTGCTACCACTGTGTTATATGTATTGCTGCCTTAGTACATATATCTCCTGTGTTCAGATGTGGAACACCAAAACACTCTCAGAGTAATATATTACACTGTGTCATAGTTTCACTTGGAGTTGAGCATCCCACTCATCCGAATCAAAACAGTATAATGACACAAACTCGAGTTTGTGAGTAAAACGAGTTGTGGCTCTTCACAGACTTAGAGGAGTAGGATGACCTGTATTTAGAAGTGTGAGGACCAAAATGAATGGGAGTTCTGCCCCGATGATCCTGTACATGTGTAGAGCGAGAGAGATAGAAAGAGAGAGAGAGACAAAAAGAGCGAGCGAGAAAGAGACAGAAAGAGCGAGAGACAGAGAGTCTTAGAGAGACTGTACTTAATTTTCAGGAGACGCAGGGTCGAGCACATGCGTAGACCGTCAGCCTCGTTTTTAAAAGCATTTCAGACGATCGTTGTAGGAGAGCAGCAAGGTAATATGAATTTCCAAGATAAGCGAAACTCGGATGTATGTGAGATCACAGGAGATAGACAGACAGAGAAAGTCCGCAAGAAATGGTCGTGTACATTTGAAGAGCGAGAAATATAGAAAGAGAGAGAGAGACAGAAAGAGCGAGAGACAGTGTCTTAGAGAGACTGTACTTAATTTTCTCGAGACGCCGCACGGACGGCGCAGGGTCGAGCACACGCTGAGATCATCAGCCTCGCTTTTAAAAGCATTTCAGACGATCTTTGCAGAAGAGCAGCAAGGCAATGTGATTTTCCCAGATAAGCGAACTTCGGATACATCCGGGATCACAAGAGATTGACAGAGAGGAAGCCCGCAAGAAATGACATATTAGCACGCCAGAGGGCTGAGAGATGGAAAAGACAAGCACCATATAGTCACCCACAACATTTCGTGTAACGGACGTATCCGAAGTGTCGAACTAGTATAGACCCTTCAGTTTGAAGTTTCCCCTGTGCTTTTCGGGACACAGTTCAAGAAGTATTTTTTGCGAAACTGAGAGAGAGAGAGAGAGAGAGAAGGAGAGAGAGAGAGAGAGAGAGAGAGAGAGAGAGAGAGAGAGAGAGAGAGAGAGAGAGAGAGAGAGAGAGAG